TTTATACGGAATATCGGGTCAAACCAGACAGAACAAAGGTTAAAAACAGTCAGTATAGTCTTAGTATCGCTAAGCTTCGCCACTCAAAGTCTTATTGTTGTCAAGGAATGCGTGGTTAGCTTGCCCACCACGGGCTTGTTGCTATGGGGCAAATTGACACGTGATCAATTGCTGCAAATGGCCTATTCTGCATGGCTTACAGCTGATCTGAAATAGTGACGTAGAATGACGTCACTGCAACAAGCCTGTGAAAATTGACCAGCGAAAAGGTTCGCCATTGGAATATAAATACAAAACTCATTCATTATAGTGCCATTAGCATTACCAAGCGCTTATTAGTATAGGTAGTAGGACTACATGCTGTCCAATTTGGAAATAATTGGATGAAAAAAATTCCGAGGTAGCTTGTAAATCCATAATTTCAAGTGGCAAAATGACACCTCAGTTTTGCTCGTTTTCTCAATTCTGATTGGCTAATACTCTTTCTCAGATCAGCCGGTTGTTTTTCAGACCTTCTTCAACGTTTTTACACAGAAGAAGGTCTGATTCAGACCCAAAACGTCGGTGCAACTTGTCTAGAAAAATAAGCCAGAGTTAACTTATCTAATTCAAATTAATCCTGGAATTCTGGCTGCAACTTTCACACCGTCAACACCATGTTTATAACTTGTCTTAGGTTAATTATGCCAAGTTGTTTCGTGCATTTTTCAGAGTCATACGAAATATGTGCTAATGGGAAGCAAGTGTAAAACGAACCCTGGACCAGCTGTACGAAAAACGGAGCGCAAAAATGATCGTTGTTGTAACTCGCCCAGGTCTTAAAAGCCACATATCTCTGGGAATTCAAGGAGATGGACGGCGTAGATTTGCTTTAATTTTTAATACGTCATATAAACTTTTTCTTCAATTTTTTTATATTTGGCAAAGCATCCAATCGCGCTGTGATTGGTCGGTTCGTGTGCACCGGACACCTGGAAGAGGGATGAAAGGATAATGAAATCTTTATTGAATATATACTTTTCATTTAGGTTTTTAATTGTTACCAAGCCCACCCTAACAACACACACTGAGAGCTGGATCTCACGCAACAAGGACCCAAATAGTGACATCACGATTACAGATATCCAATCAAATTGCTCCATTCTTGGAATTTTGGGGCCAAACTCTCGTGAGGTTTTACAGCAGCTGACGCTCTCTTCGTTGGAAGGTGATGACTTTCCTCTAGATTCGTTGCAGGTAAAACAACTGAATTATTACCGTAAATGGCTTTCCCAATAATAACGATGATGATGATGATGATGGAGATAATTCAATAATATACGATATATATTTTACCAAAATTTGATTTCTCTCGTATTGTCTTTCCATTTCTCGTGCAGGTATTGGACCTTGACTATGCTTCTGACGTCATTGATGATGATGATGATGATGATGATGGGGATAATTCAATAATAGAAGATAATGTTTTTTTACCAAAATTTGATTTCTCTCGTATTGTCTTCCCATTTCTTGTGCAGGTATTGGACCTAGACTATGCTTCTGACCTCATTTTTCTGCACACGTCAGATGTTTATGGTTCAGGCTCAGGATGGCAACTGTTCGTAGACAATGATGTAAGTAAAGGAATGAGATAGATCTGCATTTTTTCTGTTCTTGACCGTAAAGGCACTGTATCTATTGTAACCCCTATTGCGACTCTGTATTCACTACAAATATTAAATTGCTGGCGTGCAGCAAGCGTTACAGGTAACTTTATAATTCTTTGATGACGATGGCGATGAATAAGATGATGAAGATGGCCATGGTGATAACGATAAAGATGGTGATCATGATGGTGATGATTATGATGACGATGACGACGACGATGGTCATGATGATGATGATGATGATGGTGTTTACAATGATGTAATGATGATGTTGTTGATGGTGAAGATGATGCGATGATGATGATGCCAATTATGATGGATGATAATCTAGATGTTTGTTCTCATATTGTCTTTGCAGCAAGTGGAGACCCTGTACAACCATCTAATGTCTACAGGGAAGGAGTATGGCATACGTAACATGGGCTGGTATGCTCTTAATAACATAAGTATAGAAAAAGGATTACCAATGATAGGAGAGGAACTTGTCCCGTCTATCACGCCCTATGATGTTGGACTGGATTCGTCAATTGATTATAATAAGGTCTGTATTAAGTTTTCTTTTTCACTTCTAAATATACATTTTTAGCGTGGTCAAAAGTCAAGGATAAAACTCCCAGTCCGCACGTTCCTACCTGATTTACCAAACTGTAGGGGGGGGGGGGGGGGGGGGGGGGGGGGGGGGAGTCAGACGCTAAGAGACCTATTTCAGGCTTTTTACCCTGGGTGGAATGATTTTCCATTTCCGACCACGTGTCATGATTCTTTGTTTGAGTATCGTAACCGTCCATATTCATGTGTCTTCTCATGTTCGACCTTAAACCAAAGAAATATTACTCAAGGGATGACAAGTGGTGTAAAATGGGCTAACATTGCGAGTAGTCTAAATTATGTCAAAATCATGTTCTCAGCGGCTAACTCTTGCTCTCATCTCAATCCAGGGTATCATTTTCATACCTTGCATTACTCTTTATTCATATTTTTAATGACTCCAAGAGGGCGTCGGGTAGGGTAGCATTCTGATTGGTTAATTCAGATGTAATTGTGTGAGATGTGATTGGTTAATGGGTCTTTCTCACACAAGTGTTTTCCCCGGTTGTAACAGACATTTATAGGAAAGAATGCATTACTAGACCTGAAGGACAAGTCCTCCTCCTCCAGTAAAAAGCTTGTCCATATGGTGGTCAAAAAACATGACGACGACTGTATCCCRTGGGGAGGAGAGACAGTCGTTCATGACGGTGACGTCATTGGTCATGTGACGTCAACAGCTTTTGATTTCAAGCTCGGTCATCCAGTTTGTCTAGGATTTATTGAAAGCAAAGGAGAGGCAGTTGAGGAAAATCGCCTTGAAATTAATATTGCTGACAAGATGTATCCCGTACACATAGTGAAAAACAATTAGGAAGCATGGAATACGAAAGTAATGTTGAGGTTGATGGTAAACAGTTGCCATAACGACTAGAAAATTTAATAAAAGTAATAATCAGAGTAATAATAATTTTTTTATTATGATGACAGTGGCGATAATCATGTTGATTTTGATGTGTTTATAATGATGATGATGATAATAGTTGTGGTTGTGGTGGTGATGATGATTATGATGATGACGACGACGACGAAGATGACAATTGTGATGTTGATGATGATGATGTTAATGATGATGATGAATGAGGATGATGACACATTGGTAGTCTATATAAAAACCATTAAATGGTTACTTATTTTTACAAATTTTATAGTAAGTACATTGATGTAACATTTTAAAATGCAGTCCCATAACATAATTGGGTTGACTGATCCTATTTTTACTAGATTCAAATGTTAACATTTTTAGAACTTCTTGTCATATAATAGTCGTACTAGGCCCCGTCCACACGTATCCGGAAATGTTTGTTTCGCAAATCATTTTTTTCCAGGAAATGGTATGGTATGAGAAAAGATTGTGCCCAAAAGTGGTCTCTAAAACCCCAAACCTGGTTAAACTAACAGCCTAAACCTCTATTTTTGGAATGAATACAGAATACTTTTTTGCCTTCTTTCTTTCCAATTTGCCTCATATTTAACACGATAATCAAGTTTTAACCAATGTCTGCTGCATTTTGAATATATCTGCTGTATGCAAATGGAAAATGGGAAGGGGAAGGGAAAATGAGTGCTGCATGATAAGCAACTTAAGTCATTTTCAGCCGATATGCAGCTCATAATAGAGTAAAATTAAAGCCCATGTACTGAGACTGTCAGATTTTCACAAGCAGAACTTGGTCATGGCCATGCATAATATAATTAAATAAACTCTTATCCATTACTCTTCTTTCTCGGCAGTGTATTCTGTTTGTAGATCTTTGTCATCAGCGCATGATGAAGTTTTGGAGCCCTTGCTCTGAATATCCAGCGGTAGGGCCAGGACCTGAACAGTATCATGGCCAGCCAGATACTCCAAATAATTAATTCCTATTGCTATTTTTCATTTTTATATGACAACGTTCCTGCAATTAGACATATAGCATGTTATATCAAATCAATGTATTCCTGGCTATTCTTGGAACAACATTCAGTTGTTCCTCTATTACAGTGGGCTAACACTTTACAAGATTGTGGGGGGTTCTCAGTGCAATAAATTATATCTTTTGTCATAAATAGGGTCTACAAATTTGAGTCTTTTTGACATAAACAGCATACCCCTTTCAGAATCCCAGCAGAACACCCCTACCCAAATCCTGGCAAAGAACCCCCCACCCCCAACCCCTGTAGGAAGCTTGAGAAGCAAGGAAAACACTTGGCAAAACCTCCTAAGCTTGCTTCTTTCTGGCTCTACAGTTCCTGGCAAGTTTATATCACAGTACAGATAATTAATTGAATAATATTAAAATGATATAAAAATATACATCTTTGGTCTAATCACGTTTCAAGAGACAAACATGTCAAGTATTATCTTTGGTCTTCCTGTGGTAATGATTGGACTTCCTGTCGCGTTTTCAAATATGGAGGATTGAAAGGCAGATCGATGATTTTACGACAAAGCTGGACCAGAAGGGTTCGCTTAAAAGACTATTTTGCATTTCAAGTCTAAGGTACCATTTATCTTGAAATTTGAATCAAGCCCAAGGCTGAACTGTATTTGCCATTAGCATAACTAAGCTGTCTCATTGTGTTAGCTGATATTGAGAATGAGGAAGATCGTACC